ATGATCATCGAAGAAACGAACAGTAGGTGATAATGTTCTTGAAAGCTTTTTTTTTCTCTTGCAACAAATTTCTTTTTGTTGTTGCGAAACAACTTTATTTTTGTGTGATAAAATTGTGCTTTAATAAAAACTTAATAATTATTCCTTTGTTTTAATTTTTATCCTCTAAACACAGCAGACTGTTGTCACTACTTTTGTTAAAACTGTATTGTGTTTACTTTGCCTCTTTTTTTACAGTTCAATAAGACTCTGCAAGCATTCCCATCCAATGTTTTGGAAGAAGGAATAACACTCAACTGATTTGTGGACGATAAAATGAAGAGGTTGTTTTGTATGTGTCTCCTCGTATTTTGTCCGAAATGGATGACGTTGAATCCAGAAATCCATTAGAATGTCTAATATGTAATCGGGTTAGGCGTTTTTTCATTCCTCTTTAGCTAACTTTAGCGTTGATGAGTGACGAGTTCACCGACACCGTTGGATAATTCATATTCTTTTTCAAATATAGGAATTTTCTTTTCCCGTGCGGTTGCCTTGTCAACATAGTTACTGTAGAAACTGTATCGAAAGTAGATCTGCTTGTCCAGTATGTGGAGCCGCAGTGGAAGGCGACTTTGTTCCCGATACATTGCTGACTTATCTAAGTGAGATAAGTCATGAAGTAGCGGATGTTTGTGCAAACTGTGACAAGGTTTCTTTTTAAACTCTCTCTTTGATTAATCCAAAATAATTATTTTTAAGTTAAATTGCTTTTTCTCTTCGTTTACTTCTTTAAGGAGTACAAGTTTGGAAATACGTTTTTTATCTGCAGGTATCGCAGCCGATGCATTTTTGTGAGACCTGTCAGCAGGCGTTATGCAATGAATGTCGTCAGAATACCCATCAGGCATACTTTTTTGTTAGGGTGTAACTTTTAATCAAATTCTTTAAAATTTTTTCTTCTGTATTTTATTCAAGCTCCAAGTTAAACTTTTTTTTTAAGGCTAAGATGTTTGCTTCGCATCGTCTGGTACCACTCGAAGAACGTGGGAAAGTGAAGGGAAAAGTAACCTGTCTTCGTCATAATGAACCATATATCATGTATTCGGTGGAAGCCAGAACTCTTGCATGTATTGAGTGCTTCAATAATGCTTCTTTAGATGCAAGGTTAGCTGCTGTTTTACATATACGTCTACTGCAAATTATTTATTTTGGGTATTCTTTTAAAGGACGCAAAACATGCCGCTTCTAATCTATTCACTACTTGTTTGGCTCTGAACAGTCTGACTGAATTTGACATTAATTTTTATGGTTGATTTGATTGTTCTTTCATATTTTAAGGCGACATCTAGTCAGTGTAGATGTGGCTCATAAAATTGGTTGTGAGAAACTTGAGTTAGCAACAGTGAAGCTTCGTAACTTCCAGGTACCACTCCTAATTTTATTTTCAGAATTTTTGCATTTTTACATTTATTGACTGATTTGCAGAAAGAGCTATATGAACAGATCGAACTAAGGAAGAAGTTAGTTTCTGAATTGGAGAACAGTCATCGCAGTGTCTGCTCCAAGTAAATGCTATTTTTATTGTCATAAACGACATTTAAAAGTAAACTAGAATGTAACTTCTTTTATTTTTTAGTATAAGACGACTGTGTCAGGAATTAACAGACACGATAACAATAGTCAGAGACAGAATGGTGAAAAAACTAGATGATGAGAAGCTTACTAGAGAGTCACATTTTCGAGAGCAAATCAAACGTTTGGCTTCATTACAGGTAGTATGTTTTTCTTGTCTATGAGTTCCTTGGGCTTTATATTGGTTTCTTCAAGAGTTATAAATGCACTAATTCTGCACCACTAGGCGTTGAAGTACCAAAAAAATTTTCTAGATAGAAAAACAGGTCTAGGCTTCAGTAATCCTGAGATTCTTTAATATATCCAGTCAGTAAGTCGGATTTTAAGTTATTAATTCGTTGTCATTTTTCCAGCCTTCAGTACGATTATGTCTGTTAGGAGCTTCAATCTTCTGCTCTTCTGCTTCTAAACTAGATTTTTTGTTATCGTGTGCTGATTTGATAAAACGGATTCATGTGAGTATCAGTCTTTAATAGTTCTCATTGTTGTCGTCGTTATTATCACTGCTGTATTTCGTCAATATTTTTATTTTTTCGGCTGTAATCTAACTGGTTATTATGGCTTTTACTTTTAGAACATCTTGTCGACAGTGTATGAGAAACCACTGTACACCAGTGAGTTGACTGCAGACTGCCAGAAGGAACTGAGTGCAGCTTTGGAGCCGTTTTTTGGGTTGTCTACGGCATTTTTTGGTACTGCCAATTATTGCGACATAGAAGGCCCTGGCAAAAGAGGCAGACCTAGCTGTACTTCTTCATTGGGCGTTAAACAGCTGAAGAGGTGAATGCAGACTTTAAATCAACGTTAAATCTAATTACTGAAATGAGATGAAATATTTGAATCTACTTTTTCATAGCTTAATTCGTTTTTACTATGCTTCTGTGAAAAAACCTGTGAATTTTTTGATGTTTGTTATTTTGTTCAGTTATGGGTATTCAAATGGCTCCGTTCCAATAACTACTAAATATCAATTAGTGGTGGATTTAGCTGGTGCTTTCGGTGAGGAATTCGCTAAAATTGAAGCTCCTTTAAAGCAGTTCAATCAGGACATGGCCGTCTTGAGCAAAAAAGTGCAAGAAACTCAGAGAGATTTAACGTTAAGAAAATGTGTTGTTGAAAAAACAGAAGTTGCTGAACTCACGAACAAGTACTTCTTAAAAGTTTTTAGATAAAGTATACAGCCGAAGTATTTGGAACCTTAGCCTTCAAAAATAATCTCTCTTTTGTTTTTGGGGTTTTGGCCATATAGAACAGACTGTTTTTTAGACACATCAGATAAAGGAAACAAGAGTCTTTGTTCTTCTATTTTAGGGAACATATTTAAGCGTTTCTAATCACATATTTAGTTGGACAGTGTTGATCCTGTTGTAATGGTCACTCATCACAATTTATTCTGACTTAGGTGTATTGCCTTATATTCCAAGTTGAGTCAGCAGTCGGTTTACATAGCAGAATTAGAGCCTAAACTACAGCAGATATGGCAAGAACAGCTCGACCGCCTTCGCAGGCAGCAAATTTTGTTCCGCGAAAAAGTATTTTTTCATAAAAAAAGTATTTAAATCTTGATTTTAAAGAAGGATCATTTTTACATTACTTAAGACTTTCGACGAAATTGATTTGTTTCAAGGTTGAAGAAACTTTAAGTTTGCGGGAAAGTGCCCAGCACGTCGCAAGTGCAGCTAAGCAACTGCAGCCTTTTGCCGCTTGTATAGCGGCAGTGACTTCATTAATCGATCGAAGACGTTGCCATCAACCTGAATTAGCTCCTATGGAAAGCATATGTCTACAGATCAATACAATTGAGCCAAACAGTCAACATAGAATAGAAGCTATTCAAAAAGTGGGGTTTAGTTTGTATTATTACAATGTTATGTACCTAATATGTCCTCTTTTTAATCATTGAAAACTGGTGATTTTTGAAACTGCAGGAGGAAAATAATAGGAAGTTAGCTCTCGACCAGAAAAAACGAGAAGAACAACTGCAGTTTGTGGCTGTAAAGAAAAATTTGAAGATTACCAAGGAACAGAGACGGCATAAAAAAGATTGTCTTAAGGACAGGTGCTCAAGTAGTTTTGTCATCAAGTTTTTCTTTTATAAATATTTTTTTAGAAAATGTTTTGTACTGTGGGCGTAATTTATCAAACTATCTGTTGTTTCTAAACTGTCCATTTCATTAGATAACACACTTTTTAAAAAAAAAAACTAAAAACTTTCACAGCATTGTTACAGTTACCAATTTAGCGCCTCAAGGCCGCGGTTGCTGAACACTAACCGTGATAGAAGCCCTGGTGGAACTGATAGGACTTTACTTTCACCACACCGTCGCCGCTTGAAAGGGTTTGTTTTCAAAGTAATGCACATTGAAAAATTCTTTGAGATGGCAAACAAAAAAAAGCAGCTATGTTTTTACAAAGCTGATTTGGTTTCCTGTTGAAGCGTTCCATCGCTTTAACAACTTGAACTAAAATTTACGACATTAAGAAATAGTTCCATCTGCCTTTTTGTCGTAGTTTTAGTGCATTGAATCACCTTCTTTCAAGCTTTTCCGTAGCATATCGTCTTTTTAATTTCATTGCTAAAACAAAATATAATTGTTTTAGAAGCTCATCATTTGGACTGCGAAGTCAGTCCGATGTTGAGGAAGTGGAAAGCTCTTTGGATGACTCCTTTGAATTCACTGCAGAGTCGCCTTCCGCCGAAGTGGAAACAGTAATAAAAATCTTAATATATCTGTAGTTGTTAGTACAGCATATGGTTCAGCTGCTTTCTTTCTCTTTTTTTCAAAAAAGAGCCCTTTTATATTTCTAATCCAATTAGCAAACTGAGGAATATATGTTGTCGAAAAATAATTTATTACTTTGACCTTATAAATATATTACGTCAAATTTCAAACACTTACTTGTGAAGTAACTTCAATAAAATATATGAACGTTCTACTGCTATAGTTTTGCCACATTCAGCGGCGATTTTGTAAGTCGGATGTTCTTCGCCTTTCGGTCCCAATTCCGCTACATTCTTCACGAAAAAAAGCCGTTATTCTTTCCAGTACTTCTTTACCAGATGTTGACCAGTTATCAGATAAGGTTTTCCATGATCGAAACTACTCAGGTATATTTTTGCCGATTTCGTACTGCGTAAATTTCTCAGTTTAGTTGATGGCTTTCTAGTTGATATTATATTTGAGGTTTCAGATTACAAAACTCTGAAACGAAGTATGCTTAGACCAAAAAAAGAAGCTGAAGTGACTAAAAGTGATATAAAAATACCTGCTGCACCTGTTGTTCCCACAAATATTTTCGCAAAAGTTGCTGCCGATTCCCCCGCTCCTGGGACGTATGAGTCTCGGGAGAAAGTTCTTGTTAGCTTGATGCAAAAGGTCCCACGAATCGACAGCGAGATTTCATCGAAAAAAACTGGAGGAGCTTGATTCAAGTTTTGAGTTTCAAATTTCTTCTCCAAACTTGTCTAGAAGTAGTGGAAACTAATATCTATTTTTATTACCATTATTCGGGTTTCTCTACAATTTTACATTTCCCATTGATTCTTTCACTTGGTCATAATACAGGTTTTTATAATTGTTCTACATTGAATAATGCCACTCAAACGGTGTATTTATCTCCTTCATTGTGTTTTTATCTTTCAATCGGATTTGCATTCATATTTTACCTTGTCTGTTTATTTGCCAATCAGGGACTGGTGAAGTAACTGCACGAATATAAAGTACCTATTTGTGTTTTTAAATAGTTTAAAAAGCCTGTAGACGGTAAACATTTAAAAGTTTTCTTGAACATAAAGGACTAAAATAGTTCCTAAAGCTTCTTTTAAAGTCTACCTATGAATGTGAAAAAAATTCTGTTGATTCTTCCTTGTCACGGTTATACCAGTGATCACATATTACCAGACTTAAAGGCACTGTAAGTGCAGCATTTCTTTCAGAAAAAAGGCTGAAAATATTATTCTAAAGAAACGCTGAAATGAAATAGAATATGATTTTTAACTCCTTTAAATTTTGCGAAAGAACTGCTGCTGTCATACATTTGTGACTACTTTATTTTGAACTTTGTCACATTGACAGTGATTTGGAATGCCGTCTCTATACAGTAACTACGCGGAACATAAGATACCGTTTACTTCTTTTCCTTTGCTGTTCCCTAAATGTTGAATTATTTTATTGTGATGATTTATTCTGTATGTTGAGGTTATACTGTTATGTGATTTTTGGAAATGTATACAGAGGTTTTTCAAAGCTGCAAAACATGGATAAAAAAAGCATACTTCCTGTGACACTGTAGGAAGCAAATCTTAAGAAACTCCGTGAAAGGATGAGTTTTAAAAAAATGCATCGTAATTAATACCAAAATATTCCCCTTTTACTACCTGGTTTCAAAGTTTACTACCTGGTTTCAAAGAAGCGTTCACCGGCTCGAGGCGAGCAAAATTTTGTCAAGTCATAAATTGAAGACCAGTCGCCTGGAAGTCTTCAGGAGTAGGTTTCATCGAGTATCATGAAAACGTCTTATGTTAGCCACTGTTGGCTAATACGTTAGAATGCCCATGAGGCCTAAGTTATGTAATGGGACTTGGTCACTAAGCAGAGGCTTTCAATAGTGTTCCTTTGAGACAATGCCAAAAGCAGAGGTCTTCTGTGGAGGACCGGAACACACGACTGCAATTGATAAGCGCAATAAGCTATACCATAATGAAACTTTGCCAATTGAAAACATTCGTCGCGGGTTATGGGAATCTGATTATAAAGGAGAGAAACACCCAAAAAGTTTTCGTAGTTCATACCAAAGACTTTTAGGATTTCATTCTCCGTTTTAAGATAGTATTGTGCAATAGAAGAAACAGCTGCGGCAAAAGCTTGGGAGCAGGGTTTTTTAAGCGAGCACATGAAGTTTTAGTTCCGAGGACGCACGCTCTATATTTCGAAAACTTTCGTCACCTTAGGCACTGCAGTTACAGACTGTTTTAAAAACCATCCCTCAGTAAATTTGTTGAGAGAAGTACTGAGGGAATAGTGAGCATTGTTGAGGTCAATTCTAAGAGGTGTTTGCTGTGTATCTAGAGGTGTGAAGTTTTTCAATTTTCCCAGAAAGAATCTGGGCGCTATTTTTTTCACGTATGATAGTATTTATGTGTAACCTTCAATGGAGATCAGGAAATGGAAATCCATATCCATATATAATCCTCATCACCGCTGTTCACCTCAGTTTCCGACACTTTCTTTGACCAGTCTGCAGTTAATTGGTAGTTTTTTGTCAGCATGGCGAGTCTTCTGATTTTATTGAAAAATCATCGAGGCAAGATTATTTGAGTGGCTTTAACATTGTGACTAGGAGTTTAGTAATGCAGCGGACTGTTTTTTTTTAAAGCTTGCTCGTCTGCGCTAGTAATTTTTGGAAGTGTACTGTTAATATTTTGAGATTTTACATTGTTGGTCATTTGTTTCGTTTGAAGACATCAACCACATCTTGAAATTTCCAAACTTGTTTATAATTGCAGAAATTTTTTTTCTGGAAGAAAACCTTTTGGACATATTATAAAATTACTCTTTTGTCTATGGGTATAGATTATTTGAATAAACCACTCAGATACTAATTTAACCGGACAGTAACATAAATAAGTCTTTCATTATTTAAGAAGGTATAGTATTATCATTAAAAATGCTCTTCTAAATTTTTCATTATAATTAAGCTACTAGGATTACGGGTTCTGTACAAATACGGGATTTCTTTTTAGGGTAACTTTTTTTCTCGATGTGATGGCTCCGGAAAAGGCCAGGAGCAGGAAGCGGAAACGAAAAGGCGAGACTGCGCGTGACAGTCCGACAGAGAAAACGCCAAGGAGTTTGAGCAATGATTATGGGACAGATGGACGAATGTCATGTCTCCCCACTAGAATTTCTCACGCGGAACTGCTTGAAATTGGTTTGAAGGAACGTTCTTTGGTGCTTTTAGAAGTCAGTTCTTTTATTATATTTTTTTCATGGATGTTAGTCTGCTTCCAGTCTTGAAATTCACAGTTGTTAAGGCAAGTTCTTTGTACATACTACACTGTTGTGCCGCAAACGATATTTGTTGAACGCTTTACTTCTGATACCAACAGCTGCTTCAGGGTCCACTTGGCTGTGGCAAATTAACCCTGGTGAAAAACGTTGCCAAACATCTCAGACTCCCAATAAGAGTTTATCAAATTGGTGATGAAGTCGATGCGAAAACTCTTTTGGGTTCTTTCCACTGCTTAGAGGTGCCTGGAGAGTTTATCTGGAAGATCAGCGATTTTGCAAAGGTTAGATTTGATGTTAACTATTAACTATTGGATTGTCGGTATTGATGGAAACAGTAATGACTGTTTCCTTTTTACCTTTATCTCATTGTTTTTAGACCTTGCAACAACCTGGAGTGGTTGTGTTGAAGGATTTGGACACGGGTACTCCGGATTTGGTTTCACTGGTAATTGACTTGTGTGTAAAAAGGGAAGCCGCATTGCAAAATGGGAATACTATAGAGCTGCATAAGGATGCATTCATTGTTGGGACTTCTAGGTTTTCAAACTGTCATCTTTGTGTTTTAAATTTGAAATCCGTTTTCGCCTCAAATTTACATCAATTCTGTTATGTTTGGAGGTTTTTCCTACGTAAGAAGGAGAGGAGTTTTTTGAAGGGAATAAATTGTTGTGGGTGTTCCACAATTTCGTGAAATTTTGAGCCAAAACAGTCAACAGTTGTCGGTCTATTAGGGAAAAAAGTCCTATGTTTTAGCTTTGCAGTTGAATGCTACATATTCTTCATGTTTTTTTTTTTTTTTTT